TTCAGCACTTTTTATCTTTAAAAAAAACGTTAAAAGATACTTAAACAAAGATCTGAGTATACCAGCTTACTTTTTGTTTTCTTTATTGTTTTTTTCTTCTGTTCGATTTCTGCGGATAAMTCCGCTGATTTCTCTTCCATTTTCTCTTGAGCTAAACATTAATTGAAAAAAATAGCAACCATATCTAGATTAGTCAATTTCAAAAAGGTTTGGATTTAATACTATATACATGTACGTATGCTGGTGATATGGTAATCAGTAATATTAATGATAATTTATTTCTACTTCATACTCTTGCAAAGTGAAAATTAAAAATATACTACATATAGACATACATATTGAAAAAATAATCTATTTTTTATTCCCTTAGGCAATTGTCAGTCCATTTATTTCTTWATTCCGAASAGCATGAARTCCTATTACATACATTTATGGTCTCCTTACACTCATTTCTACTAGAATGGTTGRCGCAATAAAACATTGGCTCAAGCAACAAACGGCCGCAAACGCAAAGGACGCGTGGCCAAATTGACTTGTAACAAGTATATGTATGGTGAATRTTTATTACTCGACTGCACAAATCTCTCAACAGCTTGGATGATTAAGGATAATTCGTGTTCAGATATCAAAATTACTGACGCTTTTCTCCTAGCTACGACAACGATTTTTGAAACAGGTGCATTCCAAAATATGCGACCTACCTACACTTTTCACCAGAGATGATACTGTGTAATTCATAAACACCTCATCTCTGGCAAGCATGCCAACTCCATTAGCGAAGTAGCGTTCTGGCACTCCATCGAAGAGTCCAATYCACAAGGAAGGGCAACCCAAGTCATTTAATTGTTCAATCTTCGTAAAAAAGAAAAGGAAAGGACTTCAAATAAGATAACTAAAAGTCGTCCACATAATGATTTTGCCACTAAACTTACAGAATCGCGTATCACGCTCGAGAGTCTTTTTACTCGTTTAGAGCGCGACTCCTTCTTTTGCGCAGCCGGATTTTGGTTTGCTTCCTCTGCTCTTCGGGTATAAGCTTCCATTTCCCCGGCGCCCAACTTTTTCCACATGGCGTTTGCCGTCTGCTGCAATCCACTTTTGCCATCCTCATCCCCTATTGACTTGCCCACTAGTGGTCAAAAATCGTGTATTAGTTTATATTCCTATCACAATCTGGAAACCTAATTCTAGTATAATGAATAGCCTTAGGGTAAGGTAATACGATTAACAAAATACGCGAGTTGCAGAACAAATGTTGCTCGTTTTACCACCCCAAACGCAAAGAGTTTTCT